AGGAAAAAAGGTGGAAAATCCACATCAGGAACTTCTGAGCTTCCCAGGTGTCTCACAGCAAAGGGAATCAACCCAAGCACTGCCAAACTTCTGGGTTTTTTTCCTGTTCTAAAAATAAGAGGAGTTCTAGAAAGTAACATCACAAATGTCAGTTTATTTCATCTTTCAGTTCATGCAGAGAAAAAGTGCTGCTGGAACAAAAAAGGTGGATGGAAGCAATTAATACATGAAAGGGCAAAGAACTGCCAGGGTTTATTTGCAGAGGAGTCTTGCTTAACTGGCAGAAATTCAGCCCAATTCTCTAAACTTCCAGGTGCTCCCAAAAACTGGAAACACAAAGTAATTCTCACAAGCAATACTGCAGAGCCTCCCTGTCACTTCTCCTCAGACATTCCAGCTTTAAATTCAGTTTTCCATGCAGTATCCAGCTATCCAGAATTACTAATATCATCAGGACATGCTGCAACTCTTCAAATATATTAAATTTAAAATTCATAATCCTGATTTTTCTGAGTACTGCAATGTGCAGGAATAGGATGTCCTTAAGGATCTCCCAAATGTGTCCCTGAAAGCTTTCCCCTATGTGACCTCACAACCAAAAGATGAAGTTTGTTCTCCTAAAGTTCACTTAAATCTTGGGTTTGTCTCCAATTGGAACCCAAGACTTGAAATCCTCACATCCCAATAATATCTTTAGATGTTTCTGACACAAGGTATCCACTGAAACTCCACCCAAAACCAGACAGCAACACAAAAAAAGACACCAAACTACAAAAATTCATCCATGAAAACCAGCAAGGTGTGACCCAGCTCCTGAGAGGCACCAGCAGGGCTTATTTCACTTCACCCCTACACAATATTTTGTGATACAAATCAGCCTTGGCTCATTTATTTAATGAAGACATAATAATAAATACAGTGAAAAAAAGGAGAAAAATCCTCTGTGTCCTTAATAGAATCTGTTTCTGCAAAGGGGAAAAAAATTACTGTCTGAGCTGCTGACACTCTTGATAATTTAAGCATTTATTCTTCTTTTTTTCCCCTAATAAACTATTAGTTTTTCCAATATGTACTAAGCTAAAATGAATTAAAGCATTCCCTCTGTCTGAAGCTTTAGGTATAATACACACCTAGAAAAAAAAAAATAAAATTAAACCTTGCTGCCTGACCAAATTACTTTCCATCAATATTGCTTTAGGAATCACAGACAGACTTGAAAGATTTTACACTTGTTAAATATTTTAGTGCATTTAATATTACTCAGAAGCCAGCAAGTGAGCCAAGCAAGCTGAGATGCTTTCAGACATTGTCTTTAGATGTAAGTGGATGTAATTTCATTTCTGACCCCAAACTGAAGTCAATAAATTCATCATTATTGGCAAGCAACGAGACACACATTCTTCCATGGAACTTAATCCATTATTCCTCCACCAAAAGCTACCAGAGGTTGCCTGGAAGAAAGGGCTGGGTTTAAGAACTTCAATGTTTCTCCCTCCAGACATCTTTTCTTATTTTTGTAAAGTGTTATTTGTCTGGGATACAGAAGCACTTCCCCAAAATCACAAGTTCTTCAAGGAAAAACACATTTAAAGTTTTCTAAGCTTGGGAAGGTCCAGCAATTTATAGAATCCTGGAATGGCTTGGGTTGGAAGGGACCTTAAAGGGCTTTTAATTCCACCCCTGCCATGGCAGGGCCACCTCCCCCTGTCCCAGGCTGCTCCAGCCCCAGGGTCCAACCTTGGGCATTGCAGGGATCAGGGCAGCCCCAGCTCTCTGGGAATCCCTTCCCAAAATCCCAGCCCAGTCTCCCTCTCCAGGGAATTCCCTCCATTCCCAGCTCTCCCAGCCTGGGATTGGATCCATCCCCACCCCAGCTCCTCTCTAGGAAGGGATTTTGGGATCCGGGGGCTTCACTGGGAATCTCAGGACTCCAGGAAGGGTCTCCCTTCCCTTTTCCATTCCCATTTCCCATAAAAATCCCTCGGGGTGGATTCTGAGTGTCCCAAATCCCAGAATCCCAGAGCAGTTTGGATGGGAAGGGACCTCCAAGCTCATTCCAGGGACACCTCCCCTGTCCCAGGCTGCTCCAATCCTTCCTTGGACATTCCAGGGACCCAGGGCATGTAGGATTCCAACACTTCCCAAACTAAAAGTCAGTTTTGATTAAAGGACCAAGAATATTCCCTTCAGAAGGGAAGGGAAAATTCCCTTTCCCTTCAAGACATATTTGGATATTTGCATGTTCTGGGCTGTTTTGGAGTTTTTAAAGTCTTTAACAACGGATAACAGTGTGGAAAACCAACTCTAATTTGTGTTTTACACTTGAATATCAGGCAGAAAAGAAAACCAAGAGGAATTAACTCCTCCATCAGTCCACAAGCTAAACATGAGCCGAAAAATTAATGTCAAATAAACCCCATCCCTGTGAAAGGGCAATGAGTTCATTGTGATGCTCTGAAGGGCAAATCTGATTTGTTTTTTGCCATGAAAAGCTGAGAAGGAGGAGCCAAGCTCACCTGCCCCTCGGTGCTGTCTGCCACTGCCTGAGGAGGGCTCCTTCATGCGATCGATGACGCTGTCGGAGAGCTGCAAAACACAACCAAGGAAACTTCAGCTCCTTCCTGTCCCCATTTCCCCTCCAAATGGAGGAAAACCCCATAAAAACACAGCCTGCAGCCTCTCTGCAACACATGGCAGCTGCTCCAATTCAACCCCCGACATAAACAGTGCCCTTCATTGTTCAGAGCACTCCCCTCACAAAAAAAGCAGAATAAAATGATTTTGGTGCTCAAAGAGGACACAGGGAAGAGTAAAGGAAATAAAACACTTTTGGGTGTGTTGCTGGTAATTAATCAGTGGTTTTGCCTTTCTCAGTGATTTAATTTGCCTTTCTGAGATGCAGAGCACTCAACCCAGATGAAGATTTCATCCTGGGAAAAGCCCTCCAAGGACTTGTGCAACACAGGTGTCACAGTGGAACACAAAGTTCATTCTGATGTTGACACAAGCACAGAAAAATATTCAAATTGTGCAGAACCCATCAGAGTAAGAGCAGCCTCCCATTCCACATCTATGGATAACATTAACAAAAGGGAAAGAATTATTAGCATAAGAACTTCTGGATTCCAACCTCTGTCATCCAAGCACAGAATTATTTAGGTTGGAAGAGACCTTAAAGAGTTTGAAATCCATTCCCTGCCAGGGCAGGGACGAATTTCACTGTCCCAGGGTGCTCCAAGCCCTGTCCTTGGGCATTTCCAGGGATCCAGGGGCAGCCCCAGCTGCTCTGAGCAGGCTGTGCCACATTTCAGAGCACATGAACCCCACTGTGCAGAATATATAAATTACATTATATTTATATCCCTGTCACCTATTTACTCAAGAGCATTAAATGACCAGAAATGGAAAACATCAGATTGCTGAAACAGAATGAACTCTCAGGGCTCCTCCTGCACCTCTCCTCCCTAAAAAGCAGCAATAAATGATAAATTATTATCACTCCTGCAAGGGGCCACACAGTGTCTGACATGGAAACAACTCCTAAGCTGCAGGAATTCCTCAAGTTTGTTGGGTCACAAGTTCTGGGGTGCCCCAATCCTTCCTTGGATGTGAAAAACGCCAATCATTTGGTTTTAGAGTTTTAAAAGTTCAAGAGTAATTAAATGGTTATAAAAATAGCAATATAATTAGAGTAATAATAATTTTGGACAATTTGGATTAGGACAATAGGAGATAATAAAAACAGAGTTATGGACAGTCCGGGTACCTTTTCTGAGCAAAATAAGCCTGAAAAAGGACACAGTTAACAGAGGATTAACCCTTAAAAGCAACAGCCTGTTGCATATTCATACACCTCATCCATGATGCATAAATTCCATTCAAACACAGGATTCTGTCTGGGCAGGGTCAGCTTCTTCCTCTGAATCCTAAAAGTGCCCTCGAGGCAGGAAGAAGTTCATTTCTTTTGATAAGAGGGCAATAAATTCTTTTTCTCTGAAAGATTCGGGTGTCCTGTGGCTGCTGTCTCGCTGCAAGTCCTTTCTTTAAAAAAAGTATCCTACACAGCATAGTTTCTATTTTAACATTTTTTATAACCTAAAACTATATTTAACACACTACTTAAGAGAATTACTACAGCATAATTTTCTAACACAACACATATAATATTCGTTTGAATATTTGTGAAAAGCCAATCATAAAATAGGCATTTTTCACACGGGACATCCCAGGGATCCAGGGGCGTTACAGACAGCAGGGGTGGCATTGCTGCCACCTGCCCTGGAGCTGGACGCGGCTGCCCCTGGATCCCTGAAATGTCCAAATCCAGGCTGGACAGGGTTTGGAGCAGCCTGAGACAGTGGCAGCTGTCCCTGCCATGGCAGGGGTGGCACTTTAATGTCCTCGCAAGGCCAGCCAGGCAGTGAGCGGTGGCACACACAGTGAAGGTGGATCCAAGGCGTGCAGGGCAGGACATGGCAAAGGGAGGAGCTCCGTGTGGAGGTCAGGCAAAGACAAACGCAGCTCCTGCAGCCGCACAGAGCCCCCAGAACGGCCCACACACTCCTTATCCCCCCGAGAGGGGAAATCCCTGAGGGCAGCGGGAAGCGAGCGGGGGCAGCCATTGGGACACGGGGGAGGGACAGTGGGAAGGGGAGCCGCGGGCAGGCCGAGCCCGCAGCGCTGCGGCGAGCCCCGGGCCGGCCCCGCGCTCACCCGCACGCCCTTGACCACGGTGATATTCTCATTCTCGTCCGCCTCGAAGGTGACGCGCCGGGTGCTGCCGCCGCCACCCATCTCGGCCCGCGGACACACGGACGGCCCCAAGGAGACTCGGCGAGCACGCTGCCAGCGCGCCCCGCAGCAACGCCGCTCCCCATTGGCCAGGCGAGCCGCCCCGCCCGTAGAACGCCGCTCCCTATTGGCTGAGCCGGCGCGTCGCTATAGAAACGGCGCGGCCCGCCCCTGCCGGGGAGAGACAGGTACCCGGAAAGGTGCGGGAAGTTTTTCGGGGCGAACTTCACGTGGGGCGCGAGGACTACAAGTCCCGTGATGCTCCGCGGAGGGAGGAAGCGGGAAGGGCGTGTCCATCCGCGCGGTGCGCGCTGGGTAATGTAGTCATGGTCGTCCCTGAATCTGTGCGGTATCCGAGCTCCTGCCAGCACCTCCGGGGTGCTGAAAATCCTCTGAGGAGCGGCTGAGGGAGCTGGGAAGGGGCTGAGCCTGGAGCAAAGGAGGCTCAGGGGGCCCTTGTGGCTCTGCACAAGGAGGGGACAGCCGGGGGGGTTGGGCTGTGCTCCAGGGAACAGGGACAGGAGCAGAGGGAATGGCCTCAGGCTGGGCCAGGGCAGGTTTAGGTTGGATATTAGGAAAAATTTCATCCCTGAAAGGGCTGTCCAGCCGTGGCACAGCTGCCCAGGGCAGGGGCAGAGTCCCCATCCCTGCAGGGATTTCAGAGCCCTGGGTATGTGGCACTTGGGGACATGGTCAGTGTTGGCCTTGGCAGGGCTGGGAATGGTTGGACTCGATGCTCTGGGAAGGCTTTTCCAGCCTAAACCATTCCACGTGTGAAAAATGCCTATTTTATGATTGGCTTTTCTCAAATATTCCAATGAATATTATATGTATTCTGTTAGAAAGTTATGCTGTAGTAATTTTCTTAAGTAGTGTGTTAAATACAGTTTTAGGTTATAACCTAAGGTTAAAATAGAAACTATGCTATGTAGGATAGTTTTTTCCTAAAGAAAGGACTCACACCAAATAGCAGCCACAGGACACCTGAATCTTTCAGAGAAAGAGAATTTATTGCTCCATTATCAGGAGAAATGAACTTCCTCTTGCCTTGCTCAGCCATGAAGAAGCTGGTTAGGATTAAGAGGAAGAAGCTGACACTGCCCAGACAGAATCCTGTGTTTGAATGGAATTTATGCATCATAGATGAGGTGTATGAATATGCAACAGGTTGTTGTTTTTAAGGGTTAATCCTCTGTTAACTGTGTCCTTTTTTGGGCTTATTTTGCCCAGAAAAGGTACCCAGACATCCATAACTCTTTGTTTTTATTGTCTTGTATTGTCCTAATCCAAATTGTCCAAAATTATTATTACTCTAATTATATTGCTATTTTTATAACCATTTAATTACTCTTAAACTTTTAAAACTCTAAAAACAAGTGATTGGTGTTTTTCACACAGGGTTCCCTGCTGTGCTGAGGGGTGAGAGCTCCAGGGCCTTGCTGCACCCTGGGCCTGGGCTGGTGCCTCATTCCCTTTTCCACATGAAATTCCCATTAGCACCATCCCTTTGGGCATGTAATTTCCTTTCCAGCAGATTAATAATGTTATTAATGAATTGTCTTTTCAGCCTGCAAGATAAACTGCATCTGGCTCTGGCCATTCTGGGAACCTCTCTTTCCTCCTGAAGTCCCAAATCTTCTGCTGGTCAAATGCTACCAAACCCCAACAACCATGATATTTGGGAAACTTCCTCTTTGCTTCTTTTCCCCTTCCAAGTCCTTCATTTCTTGGCTCAAGGAGGGAAAGGCTATTTGCACCAAAGTGATCCCAAAACCTTCCCCTCCCCTTTGTCCCAAGGTGGGTTTTGCACAATCCCAGCAGCTTTTTGCAGCCTTTGTGAGCTGCCACATCTCATTTCTCTGTCCCCACACCACCACCAGCATCAATAGAGCTGCTCCTGCCTCCTTGATCCATTTCCAGTCCGTTTTTATTTGGATATAAAGTGTCTGTCAGCCACTGGCTGCCTTCCTTGGGGCTTAAGATCTTGCTGATGGCCACTTTGCTACCAAATAAAAATTGCTGGGGAATATTTCAAGGGCACAAAGCTGTTCTCCTGAGGGGTGTGATGTGATGTTTATGGGCTGTTTTTATAGATGTTAAACCACTTTCTATGAGGGGGCACTGTTAAGAATTCACCATCCCTGAAACTGGGGGTTTTTTTCACAGAATAAATGTGGATCTCTCTGTCTTCATTCTGAGCACTGTTAAGAATTCACCATCCCTGGAACTGTTTTATTTTCACAGAATAAATGTGGATCTCTCTGTCTTTATTTTGAGCACCAACAAACTGATGGCGATGAGTTTTCTTTATTTTTCTCCTCTGGGAATGTTTTTAAAGGGTCAAATTGTGTTTATTCAGTGAGTGATGGCACTTGTGGAAACGCTCAGCTCCAAATCAGGAGCAGCTCTTCCCAATTTATTTGGCAGAGTCCAGACACAACCCTTGCCTCACTGAACAGGAAGATTTATATTTAGGAATTAAGGTTTTAACAACAGCTCTTTCCTACCAGGGGCTTTTTATGATTGTTTTCTATGGCTGGAAATTACAGAACATATGCAGAGATTTCAGCAGGAGGGTTAAAAAAAAGGGACAAATGGGCAGAATTAAATCTCAAAATGGCTTTGGGTGATTTTGCTGTGTCTGGGAAGTTCAGTGGCAGTGGAAAGAGCAGGACTGAGGTACCCCAGAATTTATGGCTCCCCTCTAATAGGTGGAAATGAAAGAGTCTTTGCTGCAGGCCAGGGCTATCTATATGTCAGGAGCTTCTCTCTGTGGGCTGTCAGGCCCATTGGAGAGCTCTTTGGAGGGTATTGCTAGATGGAGAAAAAAAATAAAATAAAATACTGTTAGAAATTAATGTTGGAAAAAGCTACAACAAATTTACAGTCCAAAAATCATTTGTTAACTACTGGCAAATAAACTCCTGTCCAGCTCACAACTCTCAGGAGCAATCTGCAAACAGAAAGGGAAGTTGGGCTGTGTAAAAGTGGAACATTTTATATGTTCACATAAATAATGGGCTCATTTCAGGACTGGTGTAATTGTGGTACATGGGATTGTAAGAGTTCCCTTCAGTGGTTAGCAAAAAGACAACAAAAAAAGCAGAATGGCAAATAAAAGTGTAGCAATCAAAATCCATCTATTAATTGCTTCTGATGGTGATTGATCTGAACCCACTTCAGATGTGTGTAAGCAGAAAATCCACCTCAAACTGGCAAACTCCAGGTATTTCATTGAGAATCTGGAAAACAAGCAGGAACTTTAGATCAGAGAATCACAGAAAAGTTTGGAAAAGCCCTTTAGGATAAAGTCTGACCATTCCTAGCCCTGCCAAGGCCACCCATGTCCCCAAGTGCCACATCCACAGGGCTCTGAAATCCCTGCAGGGATGGGGACTCCCCACTGCCCTGGGCAGCTCTGCCAGGGCTGGACAAGCCCTTTGGGAAGGAATTTCCCCAAAATCCCCCCTGAGGCTGCCCTGGCCCAGCCTGAGGCTGTTCCCTCTGCTCCTGTCCCTGTTCCCGGCTGTGCCCTCCTGGCAGGGACTTGTGCAGAGCCACAAGGGCCCCTGAGCCTCCTTTGCTCCAGGCTCAGCCCCTGCCCAGCTCCCTCAGCCCCTCCTGGTTCTCCAGACCCTTCCCAGCTCCCTCAGCCCCTCCTGGTTCTCCAGACCCTTCCCAGCTCCCTCAGCCTCTCCTGGTTCTCCAGACCCTTCCCAGCTCCCTCAGCCCCTCCTGGTTCTCTCCAGCCCCTTCCCAGCTCCCTCAGCCCCTCCTGGTTCTCCAGACCCTTCCCAGCTCCCTCAGCCCCTCCTGGTTCTCCAGACCCTCCCCAGCTCCATTCCCTTCCCTGGACCTGCTCCAGCCTCTCCAGGTCCTTCTTGTCACGAGGGTCCCAAAACTGAACACGGGAATTGAGGTGTGTGGAATTTTTGGGGTCTTTTGTCATGGGGAGGAAAGATGAATCTGTCTTTATTTTTTTAGAAGGTTAATTTATTATTTTATGATATTATTATATTAAAGAATGTTACATTAAAACTATACTAAAGAATAGAGAAAGGATACTTACAGAAGGCTTAACAAGGTACTAATTAAAACTGGTGACTCCTTCCAGAGCCTGGACACAGCCTGACTGTGATTGGTCATTAAGTCAAAACAACTCACATAAAACGAATGAAACAATCACCTGTTGGATAAACAATCTCCAAACACATTCCAAAGCATCAAAACACAGGAGAAGCAAGGAGATAATTATTGTTTTCATTTTTCTCTGAGGCTTCTCAGCTTCTCAAGAAAAGAAATCCTGGTGAAGACATTTTTCTAGAACATATAACAGTGACAGAGGTGGGGCCTCAGCAGCGCCCAAAAAATGATTAGGTTGTCATTATTATTATTTTATTTTTAGGTTAAAAGCTTTCCCTTTTTGTTCTGCCATGTGCTTTTCCACATTTTCCATTTTTATGGCCAGGTTATAAATGCCTGATTCTTTGTTAAATCACAACGCTCTTGTCCAGTTTGTCCTGTTTGTCCTTGTCTGAACATATTCCATTGAGGCAGAAATATTTCTTCCACCACTCAATACTCGATTTTTCTGATGTACTCAACCAGTACTGAAGGACAGCCTTGCCAGGCATTCCCAAATAAATCCTAATGAGCCCAGGAACAAATGACTATTAAAATTCAGGCTCTTGTGTGAGGAATTTTAAAATGCCATGGGAACCCTGGATGGGTGAGGTGCTCATGGCTCATTGCACTCCTGCTGTCAGGTTCTGCTCTGTGGAGCATCTCCTGCTCAGTCACTGTCACACTGAGTGACTTTGCCAGGTGTCCCTTGGTGGTCCTTGTCAGGACCCAGGACATTGCTCTGGCTGCCCTGGGTGATTCCAGACCCTGGTAGGGGGCTCAGAGACCTTGGCACAGAGTCACAAACACCTGTGCCTTTGATTTTAGCCCATGGAAACAATTCCCAACTTTGTGTGAGGAGTTACAAGCCACAAGGGTTTGAGTAGAATGGTAGTGAATTTGTCACAGGGTGAAAAAGTAGAATTTTGGGGATTTAGAATGGGGGTTCAAGAGGCAAGATGGAGGAATCTCGGTGTGCCCTGTCCTTCTTCTTCTCCTTGTCCTCCATGTTCTGCTGTGATGGTGACACTTCTGGATTGGTTTAGAGTAGAGTCAGACTGTCTAACATAGGTGATAGGTATTGGGAAATTATTGTAAATCAAGTACAGGTAGTTCTTAGTATAAAAAGCCAACACCACCCCAAGGGCAGGGACTGTGCCACAACCCAACCTGCTGGACAGACCTCAGCAGGTCAGACAGACAATGTATTAGAGAAGAGCAAATAAACAACCTTGAGAACAGGAGCCAAGGAATCCTGTCTTCTTCTTGGGTCTTGGGGCTGGGAAAAAGAGACTTTCCAACACCTCAGGGTCATCTCAACACCAGAGACCCCATCAGTCCTGTGTGCCCCATAGAACTGTTCAGTGTGGAAGGGCTGGGATTGTTCCTCAGCTCCTCCTCAGCAGCCACTGAATGTCACAGCAACATCTGCCACGTCTCAGAGCACGGAAACAGCTCTTTGCTGTGGCACAGAACACAGAGCCTTCTGCTGGCAATGGGATCCTGTCACTGTCATATTTCCTGAAAAATCCCTTGGCCAGGATTTCTTCTCCTGGGAAGAGGAGAAGCCTCAGCTTCTCCTGTGTTTGCTGCTCTGGAATGTGGTCTGGAGATTGGTTATCCAAACGTGTGAATTGTTTTTACTTAAAGACCAATCACCATCAGCTGTGTTGGACTCTGAGGAGTCAGTCATGAGTTTTATTATTCATTCTTGTTAAGCCTTCTGTCTGTATCCATTCTCTTTCTTTAGTATAGTTTTAGTATAGCATAATATAATATAATATAATATAATATAATATAATATAATATAATATAATATAATATAATATAATATAATATAATATAATATAATATAATATAATATAATATAAATAAATCAGCCTTCTGAGAACATGGAGTCAGATTTTCAACTCTCATCTCCTCCTGGGGACCTCACAAACTCAACAGGGAAACCACTGAAGCCTGGAGAGGCTGCCTGGAACAGAGGCTAGAAGAGTTAAAGGAATAAAGATATTTATCAAAGGCCTTCACAGGATACACCTTAGGCAGTGCAAGAGCCCAGCCATGGATGGAGCCAAGATGGAGCCAAGATGGCTGGTGAGTCACGAGTTTTCACACTTTTATAAGTTTTAGTTCATTTCCATATTGGGGTTAATTGTCCAATTCCAGCTCCAGGTTTGCAGTCCCATCCTCCCAGATTGCTCTCCTCAATTTGCTGCTGTTTTTATTGCTTGAGCCTAAAGCTGCAGTGGTGTCCTTGGTTTTCAAGCTAGAAAAGGATTGTTCTGTGTGACTGAGCTGTGAGGAGAACTTGCTGACACTTTATATGGAGTTCAGAGTCACACACTAATGCAGAATCTGGAAAATATGAAAGCTAAAGCTCAAGGCATCACAATGAGTAAATCATGGATTGTATCTTCAGGACATGCAGACAATCAGGAATTATTTGGGTTGGAAGGGACCTCAGAGCCCCTGCAGTGCCACCCCTGCCATGGCAGGGACACCTCCCACTGTCCCAGGCTGCTCCAGCCCCAGTGTCCAGTCTGGCCTTGGACACTGCAGGGATGCAGGGGCAGCCCCAGCTGCTCTGGCAATCCCAACCCAGCCAGGAATTCCTCATTGCCAAGATCCCATCCCTGGCTGCCCTCTGGCACTGGGAGCCATTCCCTGGGTGCTGTCCCTGCAGGCCTTGGCCCCAGTCCCTCTGCAGCTCTCCTGGAGCCCCTTCAGGCCTGCAATGTGCTGGAAGCTCTCCCTGGATCCCTCCCTTCTCCAGGGGAACATTCCCAGCTCTCCCAGCCTGGCTCCAGCCCTGGAGCAGCTCCATGGATTCCTCTGGAATCTCTCCAGCAGCTCCAGGTGCTGCAGATGCTGGACTGGGGGCAGCTCTGCAGGTGGGGTCTCACCTGAGAGGGGCAGAATCTCCCCTGCTGCCCACGGGGTTTTGTGGCTCTCAGTGCCCACCAGGGCATGTCCAGCTCTCACCCACCAATGCCCCCAAGTCCTTCTGCCAGGACTCTCCTGCCATTGTCCCCCCAGCCCAGATTTGTGCTTGGGTTCCCCTGACCCTTGTGCAGGACCTTGGCCTCCAGCCCTGCTGTGCCACACCCTGGTGCTGTTGGTGCTTTTGGCACAAATTTCAGTTCCTGCCAGTTTCACACTCTGATCA